GGGACAGCTTATTGTCTAGATAAGAGTTTTCTAACTTACACAGACATTACCTTAGAGAACTTATCATGTAATGGATATCAGTATCCATAGGAGGCTCCATGTGTCGTGGAACATAAATTGAGCTGTTTTAAGGACAACATCCCTTGAGATAAGAAACTCTGCCAGCCTATTTGTTATCTCACAATGGGACTAAACATGAAAGTTCTTCATGTGGAAGTAAAGCCTATCTCTCATATCTTAATTCTTCCATTGCTATAATATTAATGTTACCAAAAGCCCTTTATTTAGGGGTTCACCATTCCTGTTTATGTGAGATCATTAAAAGAGCCATTGGTTGTTTCTAGAAGATCTCGACTATGCATTTCGTCCACACGATTCAGGCATCTAATATGCGGACATAGGAAATTTAATGCACCAGCCCACAGAATATTCTTGAAAGATTTTTATTACAGGGCCTGCTGTGTTTAATTTATGTTTCTTCTATGTTCTCCTCTCCAGTACTGAATGTAAGGCTCTATGGAAGCAAAACAAGGCCGGGGGCGTTGCTCACTGTTGAATCCAGTGGTTCGCCCAGTGCCTGACTCATATATTAAATAAACAAACGAAACTGGACATCACTGTGCAACTCAAAAACAGCAACTGCTCAAAGAAACTATAGATTGTGAGCCCTAATGTCATCTAAATTTTCTAGTAGCCATGTCTAAGAATGTAAAAAAGAAAGGAAGATAAATTAACTTTAGTAATATATTTTATTTATCCAACATATTTCACAATGTCAATTCAACATATGATCAATGAAAATTTTAACAATATATTATACATCTTATATGCCTTCCAAAATATGATGTGTATTTTATACTGACAGTTCATCTCAATTCAGACTCTAATAATTTTCTTATGAAATAGTGAACCATTGGATTTCATAAATTACTGTGTGAAAAAGTATAATGACATATCCAAGTTGTTCCACATATTTAAAAATTTTCAGTAACTGAATTGAGGATGATTTCTTACATTTTAATAAAATCAAGTAAAATTTAAAAATTCACTCTTCACAGTCACACTAGCCATATTTCAAGTGTTTTAAGAGCCAGATAGTTAGAAAGTATAGTATTGGATATACATCTGTAAAAATGTTTAATCACATGTTACAACACAGATAACATATATTCAAATGTTATAATCATTTGCAAATCTGAAGCAATTTGTTACTATAAGTAAAGCATCAACATATATTTAAAAGCAACCATTAATCTAAAACATTATCAAAATTATCCCTCTATTACATTACATTTTTTTACTTTCATCTGAACGATCTTATTCAATCTAATGCAAGCCCATCCTGGATTGTAGTCTATGTAAGCAACAGCCCATAGTGGGCTTGTGAATCAATCATGTGCTCAGCAGATATGGGGATATGCTCAGTGGGATACTCAGTGTGCGAATTCATCACACTGCAATATTTTAATTCTTCTTTCCTAAATCTGGATATGTTCATGGAATTTGTTGCACATGTGAACATTTTCTATCATTCTGTATGGGGGTGAAGGATTGAAAACCATGATTACTTTAGAAAACAAATCTCACAGATTAGTTCCTATGTAAAAGAAGGAAACTGACTTTGATAGATTGTGACCACACCATTTCTGATCATTCAAGTAAAGCAGCACCATTTAATCTGTACATTCAGAAGCTTATAATATAGCTAAGGAACTGAATGAATTTTATCAGTTGTGGGGGAACTATTTGGAATGGACCTATTTTTAAGAGGTCTATCGAAATAAACACTATGCTGCCATTTGGGGGTGAAGAGTGAAATTAAATTATAATTTTAATTAATCTATAGTCCAGATTCCTGAATGGATGAATCGAATTACTTTTTAGTCATACAAAACATTTGAAATTAGAAATCTGGAGATTTAAAAATGTCAATATTTATTTATTTTAATTGCAGATAATTCCTGAGACAGTACCATCCAAGGACTTTTGCAATTACTTAGAATCTACAAGGTGGTTCTTATGTAGCTCATTAAAAAAGACCATATAAATGCAATTTAATAAAAAACCCAAGAAAAAGGAGCCAAAGTTCATCCCAAGGTAATTTCCCCTCTCTGTATTGGGATAAATAAGTATGGAAATAATAGAGTGGAATCAATGCATCAGCATTAAATGGTCAAAACAGAACGTTTAAAATATCCTGTAGTGCTTAAAATAATTTGTACTCTAAGTCCAATGACCACTCGCCAGCAGGGAGAACCAAAGTTGAGAAAATTCTATTAAAAACATGACTCAGAGGCGAAAAATGAGAGGCTGGTAATGAAGGAAATGATCGGATATCATTCCCATGGTTTATCCTAAGATCACATGTTCTGAGCATCTTTAAAAGGACGTTATCTGGACTCAAGAGGGTTACAGCACCTACCTAAAAGCTGCTGCTTCTTTCTCACCTTGAAGAATATCTAGAAACTCACAAATGTGTGACCTTTTGTAGGTACCTGGAAACTTGTCTCCAGTGAAAACTTTGATGATTACATGAAAGAATAGAGAGTAGTAAGGAAATGGCATTGTGGAATTACTGGATTGTAACATTTCTCTGGGGGACAGTGTTTATCGATGTGTTTTCTCTCTAGCAGCTCTGGTCAGACGCAAAAATATGCTTTCTCTATAGAGGTGTGCAAGTAGCAAATCGAATCATTAGTTTCAAGAAAACTTCTGAACAAAGCTACAACTAAGATTCCTAAAGTGAACCAGTATAAGAAAGGATCTAAATGGAATTTTTATAGTCTATAGAAATGACAAGATTTTCATTTAATTGAAAACTTGAGGTGTCTTTGGTTTACTTGGCTTTTTGCCTGTTTTCTACACTTCTTTTCATATAAAATAATAATAACTTGGAAAGAAAACTGTGTTATTTCCTAGAGTGCAATAAATTTCCATTTGAAAATGAAGGCACTATATTTCCATCCGAATGCATTAACTTTGCAGTAAATGTATGTTAGCCAATTATTTTCTGTCTCAGGTCAATCGGTAACATGTGCAGTTATTTTATGACAGGCAAAAATCTTTAATTCAGAAATATGTTTCTCCAAAGGCTTAAATGCTTCTTTGACTAGAAATGACATGGGATGTTATGGAATTATTGAGTACATATGTAACATACCTCCTCTTCGATAATGGAGCTTTTTAATTTTTTAACTCTGTTGATGTTTGCCAGCATGTTGTCGTGGAAATGTGTCCCAGATGATTATGGAAGTAAAGCAATGGACATAAATCAGAGAGTCCTCCCCCAGCCCCTGACCCCTGTACATGACACAGTTGGATCCAGGGTTAGCAAACTTGGGAGGAATTTTACACAATATCTTTATTAGAGTCTAGGATTTATCCCTAAATCTCAAAGACTTACCCTCCCCTAAATACAGTATAGTTTTTGCTTGTCTGTAACTACTATTTTTCTGTTTATAGATTGAGAGGAGGAATTAGGGACTTTAGCCATGAGAGAGACCTAACTTTCTAGGCTACCATCTAGTTGTGATTCAATAAACTAATTAAATGCACTTGTATAGAAATGCCGGATTTGGGCTATTTGGCTATTGACTTTTAGACATATTTTTCAGTTTAATATTTATTTTCTAATAACACTTACTTTTATATTATAAAGGACTAATGATAATTATAGATGATAAGATACCTCCTGAATGAAATTAGCTACTCTAATTGAGGATGAGGGATAGGTATTGCCTTCATTAGTCAAATAAAGACAGAATCAAGCAAGTGGAGAGTATGATTTTTCCTAAGGTCAGCATTCTAGAATTACACTTGATGTTGCATCCATTTACTATGCTGACTCATTTTACATATTTAATGTTGTATTTTGTAACAGAGCCAGACTTGATGAAGCAACATATTATCTTCCCACTTGTGGCCACTTTTGAGACAGGGAGCTAAATCAGAGCCCCAGAATTACTTATTTGCACAATATTTCCCCTGTATTTCTAAACCTTTGGTCACCTTTAATCAAAGAAATACCTTAAATTTATATGCGTGTGTTAAAAACTACAACACATCTATGACTGTCATAAATTCTGTATAACATGTGCAGTGGTAGCAAGTTACCACTGTATGAGGTTATAAATTGTTCATCCCATATCTTACACAAGAAAAATATATTCCCCTTTTTAAATAAGAGGAATTCACAACTTAGCTGATTGGGAATCAAAGTATTAGCTTCTAAACTAAGAAATAGTGATTTCTTAAATTTTGAAGTATTCACAACCAATGCTTCGTCCCTTTTTAATATTTCTTATAAATTATTAGGAATGGTATCACCATTCTAAATTATATAAACATAGAAAACACTTTGATTTTTGGAGAAATTAATTAAAAACCTCATTTCATTGTGGAGTAATTTAGAAAACAAGCTGAGAGAACTAGCCTTGGCAGCAAATGCCAGGAAATATGATTTTTATATTTCAAGATAGATTATCTTTAACTGAATAACTCTATATTGGGCCCTCAAAGTCTTCAAATTCTGTCTTTGTGGATTTTTAAACATAATCTTGAATATTTAAGAAGGAATGGTCAAGTTGCCACAAGTATTTCATTAATAGAGAAAATGACAGTGGCTGACAGTTTTTTAAATATATATTCCAAAACGACTTAACTTTATACATATTCTTGATGAAAATTAACAATGGTCTCCTGAGGAGTTGTATCCGGATGAGAGAAGGGGAAGTGTAAAGCATGGAGCTATTAATACATTCAGGAGGATGGCTGGGGCCCGGAGTTCACGGCTGCAGTGAGCTACGATCATGCTACTGCACTCCAGCCTGGGCGACAGAGCGAGACCCTGTCTCTTAAGAAAAATAAAAACCAAACCAAAATAAACAAGAATAGACCTACACCTATTGGTCTCAGAGTTTTCCTGTATTAGCCTGCATTTACTTACCTGTAGGAGCTATTTAAATGAAACCTTTAAGAAACTCACTGGTATCTTTCTCCTCTTTTACACACGTATGTGAACCCGTGTGCATGCACACACCATGGTTTGCTGACTTAGATAAAGATGCGAGAGAAAATGTAAACCTGACACTTTTTCTTTTCCTAACTGTAGGAGTGGGCTTTGCCACCAGGAAAGTGGCTGGGATGGCCAAACCCAACATGATTGTCAGTGTGAGTGGGATGTGATCACCATTAAATCAGAAAGTACCTTCAAAAATACTGAGATTTCCTTCAAACTCGGCCAGGAATTTGACGAAGTCACCGCAGATGATAGGAAAGTCAAGGTGAGAAATAAGGAATTGGCACAGAGTAAATGCCTAGTTTCTAAATTGTCACTGCCTGCAAGAAGATATTGTACTATAAAAAGAAAACTATTCTATTATAGACAAAGAGCCCTGAACTCCACATCTAAAACCATGTTGCCTTCAATACATATAGTTGGTGAATGTCCACCTTTTCATAAGTTGTTCTTAATATGACTTTTATTGTTAGAATTAACATAATTATGTTCATATAATACATAGAGTATTTGAATTTAATTAGGGTAATATTACAATGTGAGAGAATGTTTTTAAAAGACTAGAAGAAAAAGGAAGAAAATCACGACTACCATCTCAATGTAAATTTATTATTTATGTTGCTTCACAGTATTTTTTCAAAAGCAATTTATATAAAACATTCTGGACATAATGTATATGTAAGTTGTATGCTGTTGTTTTTGACATTCATTTTTTCTTGTAGCAGTTATTCTTGACATTTAAAATTATTAATGACCTCAAAATATTTCTTTGAACAAAGGCACTGTATTTTTATTTTTATTTCTGCCATCATATGCAAATAGTAATCACTTTTATTATGCCTGCAGAGCACCATAACCTTAGATGGGGGTGTTTTGGTACATGTGCAGAAATGGGACGGTAAATCAACTACCATAAAGAGAAAACGAGAGGGTGATAAACTGGTGGTGGTGAGTATCTTATGGCTACTCAGTTCCAGATACTACTGCTAAGTCTTTTGATGATCTTTGTGCCACATAAGGAAACAGATACTTACCTTGATTATGCAGAACAAAAAGGTGATTTTATTGGGATTATGGTTCCATTCTGGCAATTGTCCTTCATGCTTTCGAGCTCAGCCCAGGTATGCTGTCTCCCAGGAAGTATTCCTACTCCCTCTTAGGCACCCTGAGGCTGTCTCCAGCGGTGCCTCCTCCACACCATAGTATATACCTCTGTTTCTCTTTCGTC